GGACAGCCTCCAAAGCCACAGAGAAACCCTGCCTCAAAAAAAAAAAAAAGTATTTTAAAAGGATAACCGTAGATAGTTTGGGAACTTTACAAATATTCAGATGTGTGTGGTGGGGGATGATGAAGAAATGCCCAAGCAGTTAAGAGCACTCTGCACTGTAAAGGATGTGAGTTTGTTCCCAGGCACCCTTATGGCTGCTAATAACTATGTGTCCTCCAGTTCCAGGGGATCTGAATCCTCTTCTGGCCTCCATGGGTACTATATGCATGCAGTACATAGACATACATGCAAACAAAACACTTATACCCATTAAATCTTTAAAAAGTATTCAGAAATATATTTGATAGTGAACGTATAAAATTCAATGTGAAATTCCACACTTCTGTTCTTAATGTCTATTCTGGGTAGAAGTTCATAGACCACTGAGCCATCTCTCCAGCCCTGTGTATTTTTTTAATGTGCTAGATATTAAACAGAGAGCCTCATGTATGCTAGGCAAGCACTCTCACAGATGACATCACCAGTACCTATATGTGTATTAATTATATTTTTGTTTGTTTGTTTTGAGACAGGGTTTCACTGTGTAGTCCTGACTGGCCTAGAACTTAACTATGTGTAGACCAAGCTGGCCTCAAACATAGAGAGATCCTTCTATCTCTGCTTCTGTCTCCCCACTGCTGGGAATAAAGGCATGGGGCAGATACCAGCCAAGTTATTTGTTTATTTGAGACAGGGTCTCACATTGTAGCCCAAGCTGGTCTCTATCTTGTCTTTGTGCAACAAAGGGTGGTCTTGAACTTCTGATCCTTCTACCTCCACCTCCCGGGTGCTTGGATTAGAGGAATGCTCCACCAGGTCCGTGGTACTAGAGATCAGACCCAGGGCTTTACATGCTAGGCAGGCACTCAGGGCTACAATCTCAGCCTCACTCCCAGAAGATTGAAAGAATACTTTGTTAATAAAGTTACTGTACTCATGTTTAATGCTCATACCAACATGTGTATAAAAAGGTTTAATGTGATGTGTTTAATTTGAACGTGCTGTATTATGCATTCTGTAATTTGCGTCTTCCTACTAACAATAAATCATGGATCTACCAAATATCAGTCTATGTCCCTGCACCTTCGTGGTGCCAGGTTGTCATATATCTCTTTCTTCCCTAGATGCTTTGCTATTTCTGAGTGTTCTGCAGAGGGAGGCCCAGGTCGGTGGGCGGGGTCCGGGCCACTTGGGACATGCAGATGAGGTGGGCGGGGCCCAACATATATACCCTCTGCTAGCCTCTAGCGGGCGTGCCCAGCTTGGACAGACTGTCTGCGTCCTCCTGCGCAACCTGCTTCCCCGAACGCTGCCGCTGCGGAGCCTGGTCCGGGCTGGCCCCTCTGCTACCCCGGGAGCGGGCCATGCCGCCGCGGGAGCTGAGCGAGGCCGAGCCACCGCCTCTCCCAGCTTCGACCCCTCCTCCACGGCGGCGCAGCGCACCTCCACCTCCGGAGCTGGGCATCAAATGTGTGCTAGTGGGTGATGGCGCGGTGGGCAAGAGCAGCCTCATCGTCAGCTACACCTGCAATGGGTACCCCGCGCGTTACCGGCCCACGGCACTGGACACCTTCTCCGGTATGTTCTACTGCCTCGGGACTCCTAAGGCTGAGGTGGGGTTGTGGATTAGGGTGGGCGTGGGGCGAGAGGGCACCGAAGACCCCGGGAGCAGGCCCCGAGGCGGCGCTGGTGAGGCCCTGCCTAGAGGGACGAGGATGCTGTGCCTAACTCATGCTTTCCCCTCCCCACCCCTGCAGTGCAAGTCCTGGTAGATGGATCCCCTGTGCGAATCGAGCTCTGGGATACTGCAGGGCAGGTAAGAAGCTGGGTGTAGCCTTCGTTGGGAGGGGGTTTGGAGAGGGTTGGAGGCTGGGAAGGTTCCTGCATGGAGTAGGGATGGAGCGGGCCTTGGGCTTTAGGAGTCTTAGGTCTCCACCCTACAAGTGAGAAGCAGGCTCCCGTTCCAACGTGAAGGGAATGATCTTGCTAACAACTAGTCTTGCCACCCCAGGAGGATTTTGAACGGCTTCGCTCCCTCTGCTACCCGGATACTGATGTGTTTCTGGCTTGCTTCAGCGTGGTGCAGCCCAGCTCCTTCCAAAACATCACAGAAAAATGGCTGCCTGAGATCCGTACTCACAACCCCCAAGCACCTGTGTTGCTGGTGGGCACTCAGGCTGACCTGAGGGATGATGTCAATGTACTAATTCAACTGGACCAGGGAGGCCGGGAGGGCCCAGTACCCCAACCCCAAGCCCAGGGTCTGGCCGAGAAGATCCGGGCCTGCTGCTACCTTGAGTGCTCAGCCTTGACGCAGAAGAACTTGAAGGAGGTGTTTGACTC